GACGGCATCGCCAGCCTGTGGTCCTGGACTAGGCCCTGACCCCCCCCCCCCCCCTCTTGGGGGTCGACTGTTTTCTGGAGTCATTGGCTCTGTGCAGCCTCGGACACTCGTTTCTTCAGACAAAGTCTTACACTTGGAGCTTGTGTAGAGAGTTGGAGTGCCCTGGCCAGAGAGGAGCCAGCAGCGCACAGAACACGCACTCAGGATCTTTTCATGTATTTATATAAGTTCCGCCCATTTATCAGCTCATGAAGATGAAAACCGAGTTGGGCCTACCTTCAGAAATATCAAAGTCTTATCATTCCAATTCCTCATGGACAGTACAGAGTGGGAGCAAAGAGAATCAGCGAGAATGAATATTAGTCCCAAAGAGTTGGCATTAGAAACTTGACTTCAGTGTGCTGACCGCCCTGGTTCCAGAAACACAGTGGGAAACCCCTGCTGTGTCCCCACAGCCCCATGGCTCCTCCCCAGCCCCTCCCCTTAGAGCATGGAGGTGTCTCCTGCTCTCTCCCCAGCCCTCTGCTCCCATGGACCGCTCGTCCTTAGTTCATGGGACAAGTCTGAGGCCTCTCACTCAGTGTTCTCCTAGCTGGGCTATGACTCCTCACAGAAGTAACCAGAATATTTGCTACTCATGGTTACCAAGATGGTCCAAGTGTAGCCGGAAGCCAAGGCCAGCCTGGTGGGTGTGGCTGTCTCTGCGGCTGACCTGTCCAAAGACCTTTACCTCTCCTCTCCCAGACTTGGGTTTCTAGCTGCACTAGAACTTCCTATCAAAGGAACTTTGCTGACAGCCGGTGAGAAGGCAGATCAGCCACTCTGCTAATGTGTAGGGCAAGCCAAGCCCTGTATGGTGGGTAATCACTTTTCTACCTTATAGAAAAGCACTAATCCATTTAGGACCCCAGGCTTTGCTTATTTGGCTCAGATGTGAGTCGAAGTGGCCCTCACTTCATATTTGGATATAGCGGACAAGAACATCCTACCAAGGTTAATCTCCTTATCCTAGATGAAATAGCCAGACTTCTTAGGTATCACATTTAACAGACTCTTAAAAAAATCAAAGGTAACAACCATGTGTGTGACAACCTGGGACAAGTGATGCCTGTTGTCCTAGGAGAGATTCAGCGTCCACATCTCCCAGCGGGCCCTGGGGGTACAGTTTGAGAACCGCGGACATGGGCTAAGTGGTTCTTTGTAGCAATGCAGACTATTGTGATTTTCTTCAGTGCCTTGTGGGCACTCTTTAGTCCTGTAACATTTCTTTGTTTTAAAATATGGTTTCCAAGTGTCATCCTGGCTGGCCTGGAACTCTGTATCTTATGCTGATCCAGAACCCATGATCCTCCTCGGTCTCTAGAGTGCTGGGATTATAGGCCTGCATCACCATACCTGCCTTTCCAGAGTCAATGAGTATTAGAAGCAGATATAGTAGCACATTTATGCAGAGCGTATGTGTGCATGTTCATGTGTGTGCTGGCACATTTGTGAGTTATGTATGTACTTGCATGTGGACACATGTGTGGAGGCCAGAGAACAACCTAGGGTTTTATTGTTTAGAATTGATGCACTGGTTTTTCTTACAAGGTCTCTCTCTCTTTGGCCTGGAACTTTTTCAGTAGGCAAGGCTGGTTTGGGCCAGCGAGCCCCAGGGCCCCTCCTGACCACATCTCCATGTGCTGGGATAACCAACGTGTACCATCACACCCAGCTCTTTGTTATGTGGGTTCTGGAGATTGACTTCAGGTCCTGGCACTTGCCTGGTGTCTTAGTGGCTTTTCTGTGGCTGTGATGAAACACCATGACCAAAGCAACTTACAAAAGAAAGGATTTGCCAGAACTCATGGTTTCAGATGGTTAGAGTCCATCATGGTGGGTCGAAGGCACTATGACAGCAGGCCTTACTGAGAGCTGACATCCTGATCCACAAGCAGGAGGCAGAGAGGATGCTGGGAATGGTGTGGGTTTCAGAAACCTCAAAGCCTGACCGCAGTGAGATGCCTCTTCCAACAAAGGCCACACCTCCTAAACAGTTCCACCAACTTGGGACCAAGTATTCAAATGAGCCTATAAGGGCCATTCAACCCAGCACAACAAGTTAAGGAGAAAAGGGCTGATTTTGGTTTCCAGTTCCAGGAAGGTTACAATCCATCACGGTGGGGGTGGCATGTCAGCAGCAGCAGCAGCAGCAGCAGCAGCAGCAGCAGCAGCAGCAGCAGGAGGCTGACATTGCAGTCAGGAAGCAGGCTGATCACATCTCATCTGCACACAGGAAGCAGAGGAAGGATACAGGAAGTGAATCTGGTCAATAAAACCTCCAACCCCGGCTCCAGTGACAGACTTCCTCCCGCAAGGCTCCACCTCCTAAAGGTTCCATGAGCTCCCCAAACAGCATCACTGGAACCAAGTGTTCAAACGCATTAGCCTGTGGGGGTGGGGTTTCGTGCTCACACCACGACACAAGGCAGTCACTTCACTGACGGAGCTGTCTCCCCAGCCTTTCCATTTATATTAGTACAATATTGTACTGGCTGGTTTGATGTGTCAACTTGACACATGCTAGAGTCATCAGAGAGGAAGGAGCCTCAGTTGAGAAAATGTCTCCATAAGATCAGGCTGCAGGCCAGCCTGTAGAGCATTTTCTTAATTAGTGATCAATGAGGGAGGGCCCAGTCCATTGTGGGAGGTTTCATCCCTGGGCTGGTGGTCCTGGGTTCTGCAAAAAAGCAGACTGAGCAAGTCATGATGAACAAGCCAGTAAGCAGCACCCCTCCATGGCTTCTGCATCAGCTCCTGCTTCCAGGTTTCTTGCCCTGTTTGAGTGCCTGTCCTGACTTCCTTCAGTGATGGACTAAGATGTGGAAGTGTAAGCCCAATAAACCCTTTCCTCCCAAATTTGCTTTTTGGTCATGGTGTTTGGTCGCAGTAATAGAAACCCTAACTAAGACAAATAATATGAGCATAGTAACAGAGGTAAGAATTCTAATGGAGTTTGGAGAAGGGCTCAACTCCACTGGCAGAGAGTAGAAAGCAGAGCTGGGAGGGCTTCTCAGAAGAGGTGAAACAGGAACTGATGTTTAAAAAGTAGGTAATCTGCCTCCATTGTAGACACTGGTTCAGCTTGCAGGTTCCCCGGAGCTCATAGGCTCCTTCCCCACCCGAGAAATATCAGCATTTCTCAACAAAATGCCCCGGAGAAGTGATGAAGTAAGGGCTGGTGTTTCCGCCTCTGCAGCTCCTACAGCAGGATGATTACAAGTTGGCCGGAGTATGGGTTCAACTCTGCCCCATTCGCCTGTATTCTGCTCTCACCAGAATAGCCTTGTCAACATCGAATTTTGAGGAAAGGAAGAGAATTATGCTAATCAAATTCCCCGAGAGCACTCAAGCAAAGGGTTGTTTATTGAAAATATTGACATGATGGAGGAACCTGCCGGAGCGATCACTTCTGCGGCTTTCTGGGAATGTCACCGTGGGAACGGGAAGCCTCGTCCTGGCTGATGATAGCCTGGTTTGGCAGATGGAAGGTGTGGGCAGGGGTGCAAAAGGCAGGCTACAGGACCTTAGTCAGCAAATGGGGAAAGCACCTTCAAGGGCCCCTCCGAGTGCTGGTGGAGCTGGCAGGGTCACCTTACCCAGGGCGGGGTGGCAAGGCCTAAGCTGAATGTGACGGGAGCCGCTCAGATATCCCTCTACTGTGGGCTTGAGGCGGGTGGATCCTGAAGAGACCCCTTCAGTCTCAGACCGTCTCCGGGCTCCTTCCAGCTTTACAGAAAGTGTTTGTGAACTTGCTCTGGAGTGGGAGTGGGTAGATCCTTCACCCTGATGATGAACGCTGGGTCATTAGCTCTGTGATGGCTATTCTTGGTTGTCTGCTTGACCACACCCGAAATTAACTATAACCAAAGAGGCTGTGCTTGCCCGCAAGGGGTTTTTCTTAAATTACTTTAAGTAGGATGATCCACTTGTAATTCAAATCTTGTAGGTAGGAAGAGCACCTTTAATCCGGGCCATACTTTCTGCCGGCAGCCTGTGTAGAGGAAGAAGGGGGAATTTGCTTCTTGCCTGCTTGACCTTGTTCTCGCTGGCAAGTCCATTCCTTCCCTGGCCTTAGAGTTCACATCTTCTGGATTCCAGAACATACCGAAGACCAGCAGAGGCATCCAGCCTCCTGGACTGGACAACTACCAGATTCTTGGACTTTGCGTGGGTAGACAGCCATTGCTGGACTAGCTGGACCACAACCTGTGAGCTACTCTAGTAAATCCCATGTGAATGTGAGTGTGTGTGCATCTCTCTGTGTGTGTGTGTGTGTGTGTGTGTGTGTGTGTGTGTGTGTGTGTGTGTGTGTGTGTGGTGTGTTTCGTTCAATCAGTTCTGTTCCTCTAGGGAACCCAGGCTAGTACAAGCTCTAATTACATGGTTGTTGAATGTCCCTGGTAGTTAATATGGAGAGTCACAGAGCGCTTGAGGCAGGTGGCCTGCAACTTGCTTCACCTCTGAGGAGAAGGAAAGTGTTTAGGATTGAGCTTTGTCTCTGGTCCTCCTGCTGCCCATGAACTTGATGTCATTGGCAGTTGGGAGCATGGCCTGGTCTGGATTTGAACCTGGATTCTGACCCAGGCAGGTTATACTCATCGCACAGAGACTTGACTTCCTTGGCTGTGGAGAGAACAGATGGGAACAGAAGGGCATGGGATCATGGAGCTTGCTGGCCTGGTGCACACGGAGTTCAGCGCTGAATACCTACATGGTGGTTCTCAGTCTATAGCTAAGCATGTTGCTAAGCATGTGGCTAAGCATGTTGCTCAGGCTCCGACTCTTTCCTGGCTGGAAAAAGCCTTGAGAAAAGATGACTTGAGTCGACTTGAACATGGACAGAGTCCCCGGTGGCAGTGAGCACAGACAGGCCAGAGCTGGGGAGTGGACTGTACAGCGACACTCCTGGACAGATGGTCTCCAAGCTGTTCTGTCTCCCCATCTGTCTTTCCCTGCAGGCATGTTGCTGTGGGTACAGCTGGAGAAAGAGGATCCCTGGGCCCAGATTTCCACAGCATCAGGTTCACCACCCATCAGAGAATCTGAGGTGAGAATCTCTACCTCTCCCGGGTCCAGGCATTGAGCCGTGGGCTGTAAGTTCCTGTCACTGGACAGAGAACACAGCTCTCAGAATTGCTGAGAACCGTGTCCACAGCCATGTGTGTGACTACAGCCTTGGCCTACGTGATGTATTCTGTGTCCACTGCATATGCACGTGGTACACACGGGTAATCCTAGACCTGGAGAGGTGGAGGTGGGGACCATGCTCACTAACCAGACAAGTTAACCTACTCAGCAAGGTTGGGTGGCACCTGAAGAAAGACATTTGAGGTTTTCCCTTTGCCCCCAACATAGATATGTAACTCCCCACATATACATGTACCCCACAACATGTACATGTGTTTGCTTGTCACACACACATACACATGCACCCCCCACATGTACATGTGCATCCACACACTTGGACACACATGTACATGTGTACCCACACACACCTATATGTGCACCCATATACACAAACACAATGTACATGTGTACTCACATACATGTACACACAGATATGCACATTTATGTATGCATTCACCTCATACATGCGCACACATGTACACATGCACATACATTCCACACACAAAGAGCTCAAATCAGAACAAAAGTATCTGGATTTCACACAAATTTGCGGGAACCTGCCTTCGGAACTCAGGCAGGAGAGGTGACACTTATGTCCCCTGGGTTGGGGGTTCCTGGGTGGGGTGAAATCTGATCCCTGGCAGCTGTTGTCTGGAGCCTCAGGGCAGGTGGAGCCCGCCTCTTTTGGGGGAACTCTCCTCCCACAGGGTTTCCCTGGGGATTCCTGAGGAGCAGCTCCCCTGAACTAACAGGTCCCTCAGGAAACAAGCATGCTGGTAGCTGTTCCCACCCCACGCTGCCATGGTTCCTCCAGCCTTCACAGGATGCCACCCACTTACTCTAGCTAGTTTTTTATTCTGTGCCTCTGGGGTCAACCCTCCTCCAGCCCCTGGATTCTGCCAACCTGACGGGCAGCTGTGAGCCAAGCCTGGCCAAGGCCCATCATCTCTGTTGCATGGGTGCTCTGCATGTGTACTGAAGCCTCAGGGACACGCAGGAGCCTGGCAGAGAATATTTGGTGACAGAGTGGAGTCAGGGGCATCTCGCCTAGATCTCACAGACTTCTGTGGACTAATTTATAGATGTTTGTTTTGTTTATTTTTTTTTTTTGAGCTTTTCACTGACACAGGACTTGTATTGTGACATTTTGGTGTGTGAGACTCTGTCCCTGGAGACATCTTTAAGCTACGGTGTCACATGACCCCCTCTCTTCTTTTTGCAAGGGCTCTCTGGGGAGACTCGAACCCCTCAAGAAAACAGGAGTAGGCAGGCCCATTTGGTGTCTTTGCTGAATGTGCCTGGGTGTGTCTAACTCTCAGGCACTTCTCCTGGCCTCCCATCAAGCCACTGTGACTCTGGTAGCAGGTGGCATGCTGCGTCCAGGCATGGGCTAGCCATTCTATAAGCTGCAGGTTATGCTGCAACCCAAAGTTGACAACTTTTCTCAGGCATCTGCGGCCTGGCAGGAACTGTTTGTCACTTTTCTATTTGCCAACTCAACCTTGCTCCCACAGTAGAGCTTGTAATTTTACCCTTAGGGAGATGGGATTCAGAGTGATTAATAAGCTATCAGACTTGCAGGATAGCACATGCTGTGACATGCGTGGATGGATAGTCATAGTCTGAAGTTACACTGCCCAGCACATCTAGCCAATGTGGCACCGAGTCCCAGTTCCTCGAAGAGAAACCAGAGATGTGCTGGTACCTCAAGTTCCTTCACCCTTGGCCCCTAACCCAGCCTGTCAGCAAAACCCTTTTGCTCTGCTGCCCAAAGCTGTTATGATCCAGCTACTCCCTGTACCGTGATCTCTATGTCTGGACTTAATCCAGTCAGAACCAGCCTGCCTGGCTGCTGCTGTCCCCATATTCACTTTTCTGCCTCCAGGAACACAGGTGATATCCCGTCTCTTCTCAGCATCAGAGCCTTCCTCACTGCTGGCCTTAGGCCAGTGTCAGCTCTTCAGCACTGTGTCCTCCTCCCCACCACATCCATCTGGCTCCTCCTCACCTGGTCCTCATCTCCCAATGCTCAGACTCTTCCGTGTCCTTGAAGTACCCTTGCTTCCTCACCCCCCCCCCCTTTGCCTCTTTTCTTTCTTAGGACTTTCCCTGTGTGGCTGAGTCATTCTCTTCATGTCTCAGAGTCTGTATCACTTTGGGAGGAGATGACCTGAGAGGTGATAGTCCCCAGAGCCAGTGTCAACCTAGAAGTGATGTCTGATGTCTTCCCAGAGCCTTTGACATCCTCAGAGGTGATGTCATCCTACAGCCAATGTCACCCCTAGAGCCAGTGTCATGTCTAGAGATGATGTGACCACCCAACCCCCATAGGTGATGTCTGGGAACTCCAGTTCACAAAGGAACAGAAAATTAGACTGAGCTATATGAAAATGTGCTGATAGATTTAAAAAGATCAAATCTTGACAACCTGTTGTCATTGGTCTTCAGATGGGCTGTCCCTCACTCTTGTTTCTTGACCTTTCTTCCCTCATTTTGATTATTTGGAGAGTTCTCAGCTGTGTGATGAGTGGAACGTCACTTCAGTTTACAGAGTGAGGGGCCTGTGTGTGATTACTATAACATATAGCTGTCCTCCATTAAGCCAGGTTCTGAGGGAGAGAATGAATGCCAGACAGACAGGGGAAGTGTTATGTCCTATGGTGGAAAAAGAGTTGGACATTCTGGACACAGAGGAGGGGTCCAGGCCTTGGTGTGAAGCTAGCTTTGGGATTTGGATCTGAGATTTCTCCCATGGGTCTGGGTTTTGCTCATTTCCTACACTTGGGGTAAGCATTCCTCTCCTCCAGGCCTCTTTGCTCCCTGCTGCCCAGAGGCAATTACTGACAACCATCCTTGCTGTGGAGTGTGATTTGGGAAATAAAATGTTGAGTTGCTCAGCTCCCAGACTCAGACTTCATCCCACCTGGTCTCCTCCTCATGTGGGAGGCTGTGCCCCTGCCCAGTCAGGCCTGCACTGAACTGGTGGGAACTGGTCATTCAGTCCCATTGGCCCATGATGGTGACTTACAGATGACCCTGCAATGCTTGGTTCCTTTCATGGGGTGAACAGAGCTGGAAGGTTCTCCAGTGGAAAGGCCTCTGAGATGGTTAACATTGGATGTTAACTTGACTGGTATCACATAGGGGAGAAGTCCCCAGGCACACCTACTCGGAACTGTTTGCAGTGGGTTAACCTTCAGACTCTGCTGCAAGAGAGGAGTTTGATTACAACTGATGAAGTAGGAACACTTGGAATGTAGTTAACACCATTTCTAGGTTTGGGGTCTTGGGCTGCATATGACAGACGAAGCTAAGCACCAGCATTCACCTCTCTTTGCCTAGGCTGTGTATGCAATGTGACATTTTTCACCCCGAGGTCTCCTTGCCATGACTTTCCCACCAATAAGGACTGCTCCCTTGATTGTAAGCCAACACAAACCCTTCCTTAAGTTGCTTACATCATGGTCTTTTATCACAGACACAGGAAAAGTAACAGTGGCCAACCATGCCTGAGGAGGACTGAGAGGCCTGATGTGAACCATGACTGCAACATTGTATTCATATTGTCAACATGGCTACCTGACTGCAACATTGTATTCATATTGTCAACATGGCTCCCTGACTGCAACATTGTATTTATATTGTCAACATGGCTACCTGACCGCAACATTGTATTCATATTGTCAACATGGCTATTAGGCTCCATGCGGCAGCTTAGAGGGCATCAGGGAAATCTCAACCTTAAGCTTTTGGGGAAAGAGAAACAGTGAAAGGAGGTTACATTTTAGAATGTGTTGATGGTGTGTATGGGGACAAATGGATGAGCAGAAACAGGGAAATTCTTCTGATAGTTATCCCAGGTGTCAGATAAAAACACCCTGACACAATACACATATGTATGTGTGTGTGTGTGTATGTATGAATGTATGTGTGTATGCACTCACACATTTACTTGTGATATATCTCTATTGCCAATTTTTATAAGCGTAAAGGACTGCATAATATTCCAACTCCCCCTTGCAGATGCTGAAACTGTCTGAGGCAATCCTGTGATCAAATGCCATACTTCAAAAATCGCACATCATTCTTTGAAGCTCAGGCTCATGGTCTCCCAACACAATTAATTGGAATAACAGCACAAAAGATGACTGAAAGTGAAAAAAAAATCCCAGTGGTAAGTGTTAATGTGATAATTAAGCTTACTAATTAGGAATGCCTAAGGACCGGAGCTTCAGTTACTCCTTCCAAAGACCGAAAGATGGGAGGGTTTCAAGGGCTGGTGTTCCTGTTACTCAGGTCACCCATGGGGACAAGTGTCTGACACCTTGAGAGGCCTTGTCTCACTCTAGTGTTCTTGTTACTCAGGTCTTGGGTGCAGATGCTCCTGACACACTAAGAGGTACTATCTCACTGTTGGTCTTGGCTCAGCCACAGTTGTGTCAAATTGGCACAACCTGGAATCACCCGGAAAGCAGGTCTCCGTGAGAGGCTGTCTCTATAAGATCGGCTCATGGACATGTGTGTGGGGATTGTCTGCACTGCCTTCATGGGTGTAGGAAGACCCAACCTGAAAGTGGAGGGCACCCACTGTTCACTGATGTGGGGGTCCTGGCTGTATAACCATGTAGGAAGCCAGCTGAGCAGTAGGCATACATGCATGCATTTCTCTGTGTTCTGCGTGTAGATGCAGTGTGACCAACCAGCTTCACGCTTCTGCCTCCATGCCTCCCCTGTGTGTGGCCATGTCTTCCCCAATACAGTGGACTCTATCCATCTGGAGCTCTAAGCCAAATTCAACCCCTCTCCCTTAATCAGGGTATTCTACCACAGCAACAGGAAATAGACCAACAGTCTCCTTAGCGGTCCTTGGCCTGGGCAGCGATCTCTCTGTACTAACTCAGGGCTGGGTATTAGCATCCTAAGTCACCTGCAGATAGAAGTGGAAAGTGTGACAGCATCTGCTATATTTAGGAGAGCCTGTAGCCAATGCCTTGGGGATCTGGTGTTCCATGGCAGTGTGAAAACCTATTACACATGCAGTCCTTGGGTGTAAGCCCACGAGCTGAGTGGTTCACCTAAGATTTTATTTGCACACACAGGCAGGGGTCTTACTTTGCTGACCCTGGATCTACACATATGACTAATACTGAGAACTTAAGATGGAATCTAAATAGTGTCCATATGTAAACTTACCCAATCCTTTCACAGTCCTTTGAGAAAATGTGTTCATGGACCCTGACTGACAATCTGTGGTTATCACTTGGTTAGTGGCAAAGTTGGTGCCAGGTAATACCTCTGTTATCCGAGCCACCCCATAACCCTCCCTCCCCTTCAAGACTGTCCATCCTCTGAGTGACTCTGCTCTCTCTCTCTCTCTCTCTCTCTCTCTCTCTCTCTCTCTCTCTCTCTCTTCTCTCTCTCTCTCTCTCTCTCTCCCTCCCTCTCTCTCTCCCTCCCTCCCTCATCCCACTTCTCTTTCATATGTACCTACCTCTAGAGGATGCTCTGACCATTATAAAACCCTGGGTCCTCTTTCTTTCCACAGATATTAGAAGGTCTTTTGGGGGGTATAAAGCAAAATGCTCACTGACCTTGTTTCTAGTACACCTGTCCACATTTGGCAAGGGGACAGTATCAGTCTTTACTATGTGCCAGGCTCTATGCTGGCTAACCTCTCCCATTAAATCACCAGTGTGCACTAGTCTCTTGGGGCTTTCTGAACCTCAGGTTTTAGCAGGGACCAGGGGCAGGGTGCAGGTCAGGTGACACTTTCACAGTTACATTCTTAGTGAGCAACAGAGGTAGAGGGAGATTCAGCCCTCGGAAGATGCCTCTGGGTTGTGTGTTTTCCAGACTGCCCTCTGCAGAGTGGGCCAGAGAGGAGACTGGTGGAGCTGTGCTGTGGTCAGTGAGGATTGTTGGCATTTTTCTGTCAGAGAACTTTTCTTGTTTCAGTCCATTTACTTTGGTGTCATTAAGATTATGACTATTGTTTTTATTGGTGCCATCCAGAGCCAATCCCTTCTGTTGGTGACATCCCTGTTATATGGGGGTAGCCTTGCAGGGTGTACTGCTGCTGGGGACAAGCCACACTTCCCTGTGGACCTCAGTAGTTGCTCTAAGAAAAATAACAAGTTGATAGAATGCCTTTGAAGTTTTATTTTCAGAGCTCATTTAGAATTAGAATTAATGTACTGAGCAAGTCTTAACACACATGTGCACACCACACTGGCATGGTAGCTTTTCCAAGTGCCAAACAGTAAGATGATTAAAAAAAAAAGAACTCTTAACATAATGGTTATTTTGATAAGACAGGAATAGAGTTGATTCTGTGAATATTTAGGCTAATCAGTGCAAAAACATAGCTGTCCCTGTGTCCTGGCTCCTCCAAAAATGGGTAGAGAATGGCAGTCTCTCTTCCTATATCCCATATTAAATTCTGGATCCAGAATTCGAACCTATGTGTCTGGACAGAGACTTCTGTTGTTAACTTTTTACTTGGTCAGATTTGGTCTCTGTTAAGTGTCATCATTGTAAATAAAGGTAGTTCCAGATGCCTGGACTGAGTTAGGAAGTTAAATTGGGTCACTGTGTAGAATTCAGGGTGGCCTCGCTCTGTACATTGTGCAAATAAGGTCTCAGCAGGGTGAGCGTGGCCCAGTGTGTGGTTCTCTGGAGGCTGGACATTCCCTGAGAAGGGTGGGTGGCTTCTTCTTGCCCAGAGTCTAGGTAATGTTCACATTTTGTATCTGTCCATACCATCCTCTCCCACCATGATTGTGGTTTACCACACAGTGTGGCTCCAAACTTCTGGAGCTATGTGGCCTGGGAACAGATATTGCCTAAGAATCAGAGTTGATGGTTTCCAAGGAGAGAGATGACCTGGGCCTTCCCATAGGAAATCACGAGGAAGCCGAGAACAAGGCAATACAGTCTTCTGTGGGTCTCTAAGTCCCGACTGTCTCTTTGCCCCCGTCCCTCTGGATGACACCCACTAGGACTGCAGGCATTGGCAATGGGGATAGCTGGAACAGTTAGGAGCTTCATCACTGTTGTGCTGTTGAGCCAAATCTGTTCCTAGATGTTCGCACCTCCCTGTTCTCTCACTTGGCGGCAGGTATTCACAGCTCTCCAGGCACCCTCTCTAGAGCAGCATGGAGTGCCAGCTCTCTCCATCAGCTCTGTGGTAAGGTGGGCCAGAAAGGAGGAGAAACAGCAGATGTCCAAGGCAAGCATCATATGACATACCCAGGTGCTCCCCTCCCTGGTCTCTCACCAGTATTGCCCCGTGCTTGCTTCCGTGAGTCCAAATGCACCAGGCTTTAAATGTCTGTGGGCACAGAACTAACTGTCACGTCCTTTTGAGTCTCATTCCTCAGGGACATTGCAAGCCAACACACTTAATTGTGCCTACCACACTGCCTAGATTCTCCATGCCAGCGTGTGTCTATGTTAATGGATCCACTAAGTTCTCAAGGTGAGGAGACTGAAGATAGTCTCAGTTGTGGGATGAGAGATGGAGACAAGGTTGTAGGAGAGCCTGCTGATGCTCTATGAGCCTCATGGTTGCAGCAGATATCTCTTCCACTATCCAGGGAAGCAGTTTTGAGGCCCCAGCAGGGCACTGTGACCTTCTTGCCTGGGGTGCTCTTTTCTGATCCTTCCCAGGTTGAGTTTTATTTAGTGCAGCAGTTTTCAACCTGTGGGTCATGACCCCTTTGGGGATGAAGGACCCTTTCACAGGGGCATGCATATCAGGTATTCTGCATATCCAATATTGACATGACAATTCATAACAGTAGCAAAATTACAGTTTTGAAGTAGCAACAAAAAATTTTATGGTTGGGGGGTCACCACAACATGAGGAACTGTATGGAAGGGTCACATAGGAAGGTTGAGAACCACTGATCTAAAGTCTCTTGTGTCCCTGAACCAGAATTTGACTGGCTCTGCAACAAAGGTGAGGAGGGAAGGCTTATGTACTTATATATCATTTCTGCCCCAGGGTTGAACTATAATCAGGGACAGATTGGGGCACAAAGAAAGAGGCTGAGAGGCCAGACATGCGAGGCAATGGCCAGGAAGACCATGGACACCAAGACAGATGGAGCATGGAAGCTCTTTCTCATTCTTCTACAAACTCATGTTGTGGTCACTGAACTGTTGCTACTTGGGCAATCATGGGGAGTTTCTTAGGGGTTATTCCAGAGAAATAGAATGGGTAGGATATGTGCCTAGACATGTAGTTTATCCTTGGTTTGGGAGGTTCAACTTGACGGGCTTTTGGATTTGAGATGGTGTGGAAGTATACCTGCACAGCTGCTTGGCTCTTCCTTTTCTTCTCTTCACACAACCTGAACTGCCAACCTCTTCTTACACCATCAGTTTGTGATTTTCCTCAGGTGTAGGCTGAGGTAAGTGTTTTGATTAGGGTGGGAGAGGCTAAGATACAAGGTCAGAGGGTCAGGTGTATGCCACGCATTTTCAGTTTATGGCATTTTCAATCTGACAAAGCTTGATTGGGTTGAAAAGCTTTGTATCTGGAAAGTGACTTATTCTAGGAACTGGTTTGTGCAGTTATGCAGATGGGTAAGTCCACAGTGCTCCTAGTGGCCTGGCAGAAGAGCCAAGACTGCAGGCTGGGTCAGGTCATCTGCTGTGAATCCCTCTTGTTCCAAGGACCTGGGACTCTGTTCTATGCAGGCCTTCAACTGTGCCATGATTTGCGTATGAAATTTGTACTGCTCTTTACTCTCTAGTGTGAGGTATAGAAGTGGGAAATCCCCTCCATTGTGGTGTCTACATGGCAGCCTCAGGAACGACTAGGACTAGGTCATCAGGTTGAAGCCCAAGAGTGAGTCCTGGTGGTTTCATAGGAAAAGGGAAAGACACGAGAAGGTGTGTATAAGCTCTCCATTCCTCACCATCCTCATCACCTTGAGATTTTTGCCAGCAAGAAGCCATCGCCGGATGTAACCCTTGACCTTTCACCTCCATAACCATGAGTCAAACTTCTTTTCTTTAGGGAGCTACCTGGTCTGTGGTATTGTGTCACTAAGAGCAGGAAGGGACTATCTGGAGGAGGCCACCACCTTGGGGAGGGTCACCTCCTTTGCTCACTGTTCACTGAGTTAATGTTAAACTTGTCTACATCAGTAACTCTTCTGGTTGCTGGGATATCTGACAGGGAGTGACGTGGCCTGGAGGGGATACAGTTCACCGTACAGAGGGAGACACGGTGACACCTGGCTTGCTCTTGGCAGAGGCATAGACAAGGGGGTTCTCACCTCTTCACACCGTGGAGGAACAGGAATCAGAGAGTGGTCAGGGCATATGACCAAGCTCTAGACTCTCATTTAACCCCCCTGCCCCCTCCCCATGACTCACATCCTCACTCTGGCTGGTAGCGCTCTTTCCCAAGGTTGTGGATCTTTCAGGAGGTAGGGTTTGGCTGGAGAAAGTGAGTCCACAAGACTGTGCAGCCTCATGACCCTGGAGTTCTATGCCAGTGGATGACCAAGATGTATCCTATAAGGAACCTGCCAGTGGAGGACCACATCAGACATGAACCACACATTGGCTGTTGATGAACACGCAGGATCAGAGGATGGTGTCACTCTGAGATGGGGAGTTGTGTGCAACGCTACATCAGCCGGCAGAGTAATTCTGCTGATATTTTTGGTCAAACGTTGTTCTGAATGTTTCTGTGAGGTGGATGTTTTAGGTGTTGTGTGTTTTTAATTGTTTTGGTGTACATGCATGTGGTATGTCTATATGTCCATGTGTGTGTGTGTGTGTGTGTGTGTGTGTGTGTGTGTGTATGTATGTATGTAGAGACTGCATGTTGACCTCAGGTACCCTTCTCTGTCACTCCATCTTACATCGCTCAGTTGAACTGGCCGATTTGGCTAGTCTCAGCTAGTTGGCTCACCGTGGGACTCCCCTGTCTCTGGGGTCCAAACAGCGACATTCTAGGTGAGCCAGCCCTCCTGACATTTGCATGGGTTTTTGGGAATCTGAACTTCCAGTCCTCACATTTATACAGCAGGCAGTTTACTCCCCGTGGGATCCCCCAGCCCTTCCTGTGGTTTGAATGTGAAATGTCCCCAGAGGCTCATGTGTTTCAAGACGCTGCAGCCTGGAGATAACCTGAGGGAGGCTGCGGGGAGGTGTGCCACAGAGTTGGAGAGGACTCAGAGGTAGTGAAAGGTGTAAGGAACAAGCCAAGGAGGCATGGAGGCAACGTATGTGGGACTCCTCCAGGTCCAGGGCTTCAGTCTCCAAAAGAAACCTATTTCTACCCTCCCACCATCTCCTGAGGCAGCAGCTGATCTGTGTAGGAACCCTTGGCCTGAGTTCCCCCTATAGAGACGGGGCTGTGTTCCTTTCTTCTCAGTGCTCACTGTCTGCAGGTTCCTGTTCTTTTTCTGTGCATGTGGGTGGATGCACAGTGTCCTTCCCATCATTGGCTGCATTTCCTTTCAGAACCATCACTCACACACGTAGTAATTTAGACCCTTCTCTCCGAAGGATGGCAGTGCCCCACCATGATGCCAACCGGTGCTTCCTCCCGCAGAGGAAGAGGTTCTTAGGTCCTGCATTTGAGTGGCCTTCCCAAGGACTCGAGGACTGCAGGAGACTTTCAGGTGACTACAATCCTGACCCTTTGATCCCCTCTGAGCTATGAGCCATGTGGAGGCTCAGAATGAATTGTAGCCCACTCCTGACTGTAACTGGCCCCTCTGAGGAGGGCTCCTGAGAGAGTGCCTCCACTGAACCTGTATTTGTCATTGTCAGAATGAGAGGGGATGTTGCCTCCTTCAAGTGAGCTTGGCTTGGAGTCTGGGGCCTTGTAGGGTCCTTCACCCAGTGGTTCTCTAGTGAGATGCACGTTACTAAGTAATGAGTTATACATGATTAATTATAACTAATTTGGCCTCTTTCTTCCCCAGGTACTCACTCTAAATATTTACCAAGAATTCTGATCTAATGCTCATTATCCAAATGAATAGTATTTTTTCTTTAAAAAAGTGAGATTGTTTTCATCCAGAATCAGCTATTATTTGGAGTCCAATCAGCGTGCAATACATCCTCACATTTCCGATGCTCGGGATGACAGGCAAACTGCTGGTCAGCAGTAGAGAAGGGCACTTGGTTTTTGTGAAGTTTATCTGAGCCCCTGAGCATGCTGGCCTCTTATGCCACACCCACCACAGCCCAGTGTGCGCCCTCAGTGGAGACTTCTGACCTGTCCAGGGATATGAACTAGAGTGCATAGAGGTGCACTCCTGCTTGGGACAGAGCTCCCCTCAGTGCTGGGAGGCTTTCCAGGGCTGATTTCTGAGACAGAGTGCTAAGTCTGACCTTATTTGCTCAGGGCACCCTAATAAGCTCAGGTGTGGAGTCAAATCCTCCTCTGTGGAAGCAGGCTCTAGGGAGTCATTATGTTTGAAGTCAGGTGCAGGAACTCCTTCCCCTCTCTCAGGGATGTTCCCAACATGCATTTGTAGCACTGTTTAGCTTGATTTTGTTCTGGGGGTGCATGAGGCAGCTTCCCTGAAGACCAGAGAAGACAGACATCCACTTGTATTCTTTTTATTCTAGCGCTGACACAGACACACTGCTGTGGCTTTGCTACTCCAGGAGGTGGTGGTGTGGGGGGATGGAGAAAAGGCCAGTGTCCTTTAGAAATTTGCTGGATTGTTCTCTCTCAATCCTGGGACTGGGCTATTCCCTCCCAGGTCTCTATAGCTGGATATGGAAGAGCATCTCTATTCTACCACTTGATTGCTAGGGGACCTCCACTACCTCACAATCCCCCACAATCCCACTGGTGGGTGATGTTTCTCTGTGGAGCCAGTTCTTTTTATTCATCATATCTATCATCTATCTATCTATCTATCTATCTATCTATCTATCTATCTATCTATCTATCTATCTATATGTCTGTCTGTCTGTCTATCTATCTATCTATCTATCATCTATTTGTCTATCTGTCTATCTATCTATCATCCATCTATCTATCAATCTATTTATTTTCATGGGTACCTGTGTGTGTGTGTGTGTGTGTGTGTGTGTGTGTGTGTGTGTGTGTCTGCATGAGCATATGTGCACCACATGCATACAGTGACCAGAAGGGACTTCAGATCCTTGGGGACTGGAGTTACAGATGGTTGTTAGCCATTGTGTAGGTGTTGGGAACCAAACATGGGTCCTCTGGAAGAGCAGTAAGCACTGTTAACTTCTGTGGACTCTTTCCAGCCCCCAAACCTGTTCTTTTTTGTGACCACCTGCAGAGGTCAGCAGATTTCTGGCTTAAAGTCCAAGAAAGTGGACAACTAATAATCAGTCCCTGGGATTCTGAAACTGTTTTTTTTTTTTTCATTACTGAAAATGTGGAGACCTCCTGTCCAACATCTTTCTGCTGATGGGCTCCAAAACCACACAAGCCCTGGTTGTCCAGTACTTCATAGCCAGGGTGGTCCCTGTACAGAACATACTAAATTCTAGAGACATACTTGGTTTTCAGGACCTGGAAATGCCACTGTCATCTGGTGGACAGGAGCCTGAAGCCCAGTTAGAAGAGCCACAGTACCAAGACAGCCTCACAATCAAGACCTGTCTGGGGAAAAGCACCAATAAGGAGCCAGGTTGACTCTGGCCAAAGGGGCATGGAGAACCTTGTCCATAGCACACTGTGACTTTAAGGAGTGATCACGAAGGTGAGACGTGATGGACAAATGTCCCCATAAGGACTGGAAACCACTCTGTCCTGGAGCAATTGTTCTGCTCAGACCTCACAACCTTAATGCTCACTCTGAAGCCAACCATGGAGAAGCCCCCAGAAGACAGGAGACATACATGGGCCTGGAGGCATCAGCATGACTCTGGACAGATGCATGCTCCAGATAAAACTGGAACGAGCTGCTTTAAACATGTTGCTATTAGAAATAAACAGTTCAACGTCACATATTCTGTGTGCTCAGCACTGGTGCGTGGACCATGGTTATGTAGGAGGCTCCACTGCCAACAGACACTATCACACTCTGCACATTGATTCCCCCAGGAGCTGGTTTTGCTCTGAACTGAATGTCATGCTCCTGCCCCAGCCCCTCTCCTGCGGAACCCCTGCAGGCCGTGTTTTTCTCCTTTTTCTGCTTCCACTGTGACCCCCAAGTCTGAGGCTGCACTGTCTCTGTATGTGGGTTTGCTCCCTAGGGATCACTCACTCACCATGGGGTTCTGGACACTGCAGGATAGCAAGAGATCTTCCCGGCAGGGACCTGGGGGGATACACAAGAGAAAGTTTGATTCCCTGGTAGCCAGTCCCATGCACTGAGGCCCAGAGGCCTTAGACTGGGTGGGTAGAATGCAGGGCTGTGAGTGGAGGGGTCTGTTGAGGTAGATTCAGAGCAACCACCACCCAGCAGTGAGTCAGGGTGAAGTGGCTGCTAAGTGTATGTGTATCTGTTTACAGTTTCCCTTTGTGAACCAAGTCTGGCAGACGACAGGTATGGTTGGTTTGATAGGCAGGAGTTGGCATGGCTCTCAAAGGAACGCAGCCTTGTTCCTGCTTCGAGGCACTTCTCTTATACCCTATTTATTAAAACGTAAGAATTTAGTATTTATTTCAGCTGTCATATGGTCTGTTCCCAGCAGGTGTTCTTGGTTACACTTTCAGGAAGTCAGATGTCACCACATGGGTCAGTGAGTCACAAGCTCAATGGCCCCAGAGTCGGGGCTTTGTGTCCACCCTGTTGGTTCTTGGTCTCTCACAGGAGACCAGACACCAGAGACTTACCAACAAGGACAGAGTGATCACTTGGGTCTCTGGCAGTTCTGATGTCTGAATGTCCTTTTCATGAAGGGAGAGACTTCATCAGATTCAAGCCAGAGGACATCTAGATATGTTTGCTCAAGTCACATATTTTGGTGGAAAATCACCGCCAAACTAGGATGGGATGACAAGCAAGAACCTTTTCCTGGGTAGAGGGAGAATGGCCTTGGGTGGTCCTCCTTCTCCCCTCCTCTGAAGTTCTGGTTTTAGTGGGACATATCAGAAACTTTAAGAGGTATCCATGGCCACAGAGGGGATTTGGGGGCTTTATCTCCAAGTGTGAAGAGAGAACCTAGACCAGATGAGTAGCGAGCTCTTCTTTGGCAACTATGAAGATAACAGTCACATGCTCACAGTTCATTCTATTTTAAAATGAACGCTGGTAGCTACGTGTGGTGGTATGCCTGTAATCCTTCCTTCTGGGAAGCTGAAACAGGAGGAATGCTACGAGTTCAAGGCCAGCCTGTGCCACAGAGTGAGACCCTGTTTCAAAATACATAAATACTTTTTTTTTTAAAAAAGTAGAAAAAGAGTGACACAATGTAATACTGGGTTTTTAATGGATGCCGTGGGACAGGTGAGAAAGGAGTGACTTCTTGGTCATACCTAGCAGGCTCTGTTGCCTGCGGTGGGTCACACTCTCCAGAGTTGTTCTTGTCTAATATGCAGTAGGGCAGAAGAAGGTCAAGGAGTACACTGTGACCTACTGGCCCTGGGTCTCATGGCCACCGTACCACCATTGCCCTTGCTTTGATTGATGCGAGAGTGGCCATCTTGGTGGCTGAGGAGCCCCAACCTTATCAGTTTAGAGTCGTATGGTCACCATATGCTGCTGGTGGGTGATTTCAAGAGTCACATAACCATGTTGCCCTAGTGTTCTCAGGACACTTCCACTGGTTCCCTAGGAGGACACAGAAGACATAGCATGTGTTCTGTAGCCATGACCAGTGAATGATCCCACTGGCAGTGCATGCTGTCCCTGAGCGTGGGCCTTCCCACCTGCAGGAGACTCAGTGGTGAATGAGAAGACAGACCTCTCAGCATCATGCTCCAAGTAGACCATTAGATGCTAGTTCACTGCTGCTTACCTTGTACCCCTGTGTTCCTTGCGACCATGGAGGATGCCTCACAAATCTTAACCTGGCAGTGAATAGCTGTGTTCTGTGTTCTGAGACAGGAGGGAGGGAGGGAGGGAGGGAGGAGGGAGGGGAGTCAAGCATGTTCTCACCAGAGTACAACAGAACCTAGCAGTACTGGAGCATTCTGAGAGCTAAGGATCCTTCAGCCTTTTTTTTTTTACCAACTGTGTGACCTTGAGGAAATGGCAGGTCTGCCTAAGGTGGTGTGGGTCCACTATCTACAAAATAGGATAAAGCAGGGACTCCCCCAGTCACTGTACAGACCCATAGACAAGATTTACATAAAGGGATGACTAATGGCCAGTAGCACTGCCAAGTTCCCCTGTAATGGTGGTGGCTGTTTTAGCAAAGAGGGACTTCCCTTTGCATTGCATTTCATACGTTACAGAGTTGACAACCAGCCATGTTCTGAAAGTCTGGCCTCTTTGACAAAGCTTGCTGATGTTTGAAAATTTAACCTTCTTCAAGAAGTCTTGCTAAGAGTATTAGGGACACAGACTTGAAGAATACTGGGTTCACACCCTCTGGGGAATGGTGGGGGAGCTCTTGTCCTCAGCATGGCTCCCTGCCAAGTGCATTTTCACACAGAGTGCACCTTGCCTGGAGTCATCCTGATTTATCAGACAGCCTTGTGCTCACAGACCTCATGGAAGGATGGAGGAATGGTGCTTTTCTCTGCTCCATTTCCTTGAGTCAAGAGCAGGGCTCAGCCCATTGCCAATGTTGATAAATAGCCACTCACAGGCTCAATTAAAAAGGACTGCATGCAGACGCCTTTAGAGATGGAGCTTTAGAGATGGAGCCAGGTTGGAATGGAGCCTCAACCTCTAATGCCTTGCTGGGTCCCAGTACACACAGCTCGTGGCTTGTGCATTTCCTGTAGGAAGCCCTGCAGGGAATGAGCATGTCTCTCTCCTGACAGGTCTCTGCAGCGACCTTCCAGCTCATGAATCTTGAAATGAACCTCAAATGTCTCTTTCTGGGTTTCCAATTGCCCCTCTGTCACACACACAGGGTTTCTAATAGAAGGGTGTGATGACTATTGGATTCTCGACTTGAATTTCCCAATGTGGTGCCTCTGTGGTCTGCAGTGTTCCTCGTCACATTCCCAGCAACTGCTGTGTGCTGGGCACATGCCTGGCCCCAGGGCAGGTACTGGAGGCAAAGGGCTTCCTTATGCTCCAGGAGCACCCTCAGAAGCACATGGCATGGTGAAACAGAGTCACATGACAGGCAGCTGTGTGAAAGAGTCCAGTGAAGGATCCAGGGGGGCACACAGGTGATGTCCTGCATGAAAAGGGCTGTAAGCCTTACCAGAAAGTGAGGTCCAGGCTGGATCTTAAGATTGGGCCAACAACACTGCTTTCTTCAGAGAATCATGGGTAGGGAAGGAATTTTCAGAAAACAGTGAGGCGTGGAATAGAGTATTCTGCGCCATTGGCTTAACGGGCAGAGATTAGAAGGAAGCAGAAGGAGGGTCAGGGAGATGCAGGGGTAGTGAGACTCAGGTCCCTGCAGTAGCATTATGGCCAAAGAGGCTTGAGGTGAGTCTTTCAAGTGTTAGGGGAAGGAAATCCCACCACCTTCAGTCTTGCTTTGTGGGTAAAGTCTTCACATAGGCTGTGGGTCTGGCAAGACATATAAGAATGTGCCACATGTGCTCAAAGAGGAGAGATGGAGGGCCAAGAGAGAAGCTCCTGGTCACCCAGTTGGATGATGCATGTTCTACAGGGCAGAGATGGGGCCTGGCTTAAACATGTGGAACAATCTGGCCAGTGTGAGATTGAGGCTACTTAAGGAAGGGCCTCTGGGTGCCAAGCTACAGGACAGCAGCTCATACCAGCTCTGCTCTGGGGGAAACGCTCCATCTTCCTCCCACCTGGTGAGCGGACATGCCCTAGAACAAATTCTTCCTCCCTTGGCTGGGAACAAGGAGCCCATGTGCCTTCTGTAAAGCAACTGCCACCACCAGTTCCTGCACACGGTAGTTCTCTGTACCCCTTTCATTCCTTTCTGGAAGGCTGGGCAGAGCTGCAGCCAGGCCCAAGGTCATAGGTAAGGTTCTGGAAGATTGAGTTCAGACCACAGGCTACTTGTTATTGCTCCAAAGAGGGCTTTGTTAGTCTCATTGGTGATGAGTTGGTGACAGACCCAAGATGCCTCTCTAAAAGAGATTGCCATCCAGTAGTGTTATGAGGTGATGACGGGAGCTGAGGTTTGATCTTGAGATATTTGCTGGATGGTTTCCTCAGATGGCTACAAACCCAAGGGTCTGCTTCTCCTGGCAGTAGAGGGGTGTGCTCTTAGACATAAGACTTACTGGGGCAGTGGGGGACTCTGCTGAAAGAATCAAGTCCTCTAGAACTGGGTCAGTGTCCTGAGGGCCTACTGGGTGCTGCTTAAGAGCGCCTCTCATGTTCAAGGCATCCGGCAGAGCACTTTGCTACCACCCAGGGGAACTCAGCCACCGCTTAAGGCAAAATCTCCTGAGACTTTCCATTTCCTCATTTATTTTTGATCTAAAAAAAAAAAAAAATGAGGTGGGAAACTGGTTCATGGTGTAGCTGGCAGAAAATATGTTATCTGTCACGTTCAGATAGGCCGCCCTCCTGTTACTTAGGTTACAAGATTCTATCTCCTAAATAAGGTCAGTCCTGCAGGGGAGATTGCATGGCTAGTGCTGGTCTGCAGAGTGAGGCACATGGAAACCCCGGGCACCATCACGGGGCAGGAGGCTGATGAGTCACCTCGATAGAAACACAATTGCTCACTGGAACTCCCACAAATGGAGTTTGGAAAACAGATTAACTGCCTGGGTCATTGTCTGGGGCAGAGGCAGGAGCCTGCTCAGCTGCCTCCTGGGGGCTTCCTACTCTACTCTGCTCCTGGGGGTGGAGTTGTAGTCTATCTTAGGGAGCAGACTCTGGTTTTGACAGCTCTGCGGTGGGTCTGAAGGTTAACGGTAATTCCTTTCCTTTCAAAGGCTGAGCCTCCTCTCTCTAAGTTCAGGGTCAGAATAGCAGCCATGAAGCCAGGTGGATCTTTTCCAGCTGCATGGTCCTAAAGGCTTCTGGTACAGGACTTGAAGGTTGTGCATATCCCCTCCAGCCCTGACAGATAGGTAGATTAGCCACAGGCCCTTGATTCTGTATTCGGCGCCTAGGCATCCAGGGACTCCCCTGGGGACCATCTTAGTTACAGTCCTTGTTTTTTCTCCTAGAAGTGGAGTGTCTGTGATGGAGACAGGCAGGATTTCACCTAGGTCACCAAGGTCAAATTGTTCCACTTGGGAACATGGTGCCGCTCTGCAGCCAAACCCCCTTCGGTGGGGTGGTGCTGGTATTTATGTGAGTTTTCCTATGTGTTTTTGTTTTTTGGTTGCTTTTTTTTTTAAAGTATAGTTTTCTTTAAAAATATTATTCTTTTAAGGAGGAAGCCTTCTCTGGACCACTCCATCCTAGACTTCCTGCCATACTCAAGTCCCACACCTGCTTTTCACCCCTCAAAGCTCAGCACAGAGTTTGCTTGGGCATCTTCTGTAGTCCAGGCTCTGTGCTGGAGCCACCTGGCTGGCTGCTTGCCACTGCCCACAGGGTTATCTCGAGGCTCTGAGAGCTGAGTATGTCTAACCAAAGAGGATTCCACAGGATACCAGGCCAACCTCATGACTCAAACCTCAGCTCTGCCGTGAACCAAGTTCTGACTCTGTGTGGGTTACCTCATTTAGTCCAGGATCCCTTCTCTGTTACAAAGGAGACCACAATTCCTACCTGCTGTGTTGTCATGGAAACTTCTCTCTTTATTGCCTGTCAGTCACAGAGCAGGGGAACAGGAGTCCTTTACTAGCCTTGGCTCCTTTCAATCTCATGACCTGACTGAGGACATCACATCTTCTGTGTTCATGGAAGACCAGGACGGAGCCTGGAGCTCATCATTTCTGCTACTCACACCCACCACAAAGACCCCCTCACTGACATTCTGTCTCAGCAGGGGCCTCCAGGCTTTTTATCTGACTCTGAAATGGAATTGGGGTGCACAGTGAGTAAGAACATGGCTGGTTATAATTCCTGAACATCCAGAGACAGAATGCTTTATCAAGGAGAAGAAAGTGTCTCCTCACCATTGTAGCAAGTATTTATAAAATACAAACAATTACAGCACTATAAATAGCCAACACAACGTGGGTACTTATCATACACTGGGCTAGATTTATACTAAATGCTGTGGATGCAGTATTTAATTTAGTCTTCAGGGCATCTTTCCTCTTCTTTTCATAGATCAGAAATTTGAAGTCTAAAGGGGCTGAGTAGCTTGTATGATATCATATACAAAATGCCTTCAATTGGACTACATGTGTTCAATCCAGAACCTTACTTTGGGCTGTCTAGCCAGTGCGTGGAAACAGTCCACATTACATAGGGTTTTATTTTTAAATTCTATTTATTAAATTTTAATATTTTAGTATGAAATAAAGTAAAATTGCATTTTGCATCCCCCCTGCTCCATAGACAATCCCCTCAATGCCGTCAATGTAATGAGTCAGTTTCCATCCATTGTTTCAGGGTACATTTTAAAAAACATATTGAAATCTTAGTTCTATTAGCATTTGTTTCTTCCTCTACATTCCCCCCCCCCCCATCCACCTCTTTATTTCTCACACACTTCTTTCCTTTACAAAAGCTGCTTTGCCCTTTCATCACAGAAAACTGTCATTGGTGGGGATGTGGGGCGAGTGTCCTGAAGGAGTCACTCCCGTTCCTGAAACCTCAGCTCTGCCGCACTTCCCTCTTGATGTTGAACACTGCTGCCAAGGCCCAAAGTTTAGGTGCTGACCGGCATCATTTACACAGAGCAGCATCTCTGTGTGGATATGCCATGCCCAGCAGAGGCCACACATGGGGCCTCATTGCCCAAGGCTACCCACCGAGGATCAGAACCTCAACTGTAGTAGGTTCTGTTTGCACTAAGTCACCGCCAACAGACCACACGGGCTTGGTGAGGGTCTTTCATATCTTCTGAAAGTCTGTGCATAGTTCTGACGCCTTCCCAGCTCTCCAGACCTTCACTCCTCCGACATGGCTCCCTTCTCTACCTGCTTCCTCATCTGCCTTTGCAGTTGGTCTCAACATCCTCTGAGATGTGTAACCTGAAAACACACCGCTCTCTCAAGTTCAAATCCTTCCACCATGTCTTTGTCTGCCTCCTTCCAGCAAGGGTCCTGGAGATTTTGTTCCCTTTTTCTCTTTTCGCCCCCATCTATTGGCAGCTTCCATCACACCAAGGCCACTGGTCTTTCTTCTCTGTGCTGAGAGCGCTTCAAGGCTTTCCACCTCCAGTGAGACCCAGGGTCTCCTCCTATCCTTCAGCTCTTCCAGGAGTCTCTCTGATGACTCTGTGAAGACTCACATTCTGAAGGGGTCTGTCCTCAGGGCCTGTCTCCTGTGCAGACCCAGTCCTGACTGTGCAGACCCAGTCCTGACTGTGCAGACCCAGTCCTCGCTGTGCAGACCCAGTCCTCGCTGTGCAGACCCAGTCCTCGCTGTGCAGACCCAGTCCTGACTGTGTAGACCCAGTCCTCGCTGTGCAGACCCAGTCCTGACTGTGCAGACCCAGTTCTGACTGTGCAGACCCAGTCCTCGCTGTGCAGACCCAGTCCTCGCTGTGCAGACCCAGTCCTGACTGTGCAGACCCAGTCCTGACTGTGCAGATCCAGTCCTGACTGTGCAGACCCAGTCCTCGCTGTGCAGACCCAGTCCTGACTGTGCAGACCCAGTCCTGACTGTGCAGACCCAGTCCTGACTGTGCAGACCCAGTCCTCGCTGTGCAGACCCAGTCCTCGCTGTGCAGACCCAGTCCTGACTGTGCAGACCCAGTCCTCGCTGTGCAGACCCAGTCCTGACTGTGCAGACCCAGTCCTCGCTGTGCAGACCCAGTCCTGACTGTGTAGACCCAGTCCTCGCTGTGCAGACCCAGTCCTCGCTGTGCAGACCCAGTCCTGACTGTGCAGATCCAGTCCTGACTGTGCAGACCCAGTCCTGACTGTGCAGACCCAGTCCTGACTGTGCAGACCCAGTCCTCGCTGTGCAGACCCAGTCCTCAAAGCTTCCCAGCAGCTGAGAATTGGAGCCAAATCACTTGGTGCTGTACTTGCCCCTCTTGTGTCATTGTTCTGATGTCGGTCCTGGCAAGGTAAACTTCATCTATTTTCATCTATGTTCCCATCTGATTTTTGATCAAAAGCAATGGAGGTGTGAGCTAGGAATGTGGTCCACTTGATAGAGGGCCTGTCTAGAGTGTATGAAGTCCTGGGTTCCGACCCCCAGCACTATATAAACCAGGTGTGGTGGTGCATGCCTGTCAGTCAAGCACTTAGGAGGAAGAGATTGGAGGATTAGATCAAGCTCATCCTCATCTGCATCGTGAGTTAGAGGCCAGTCTGGGACGCAAAACACATGTGCTGGCTGGTTTTGTGTGTCAATTTAATACAAGCTAGAGTCATCAGAGAGGAAGGAGCCTTAGCTGAGGAAATGCCTCTATGAGACCCAGCGGTAAGGCGTTTTCTCAATTAGTGGTGAATGGGGAGGGCCCAGCCTGTGGTGGGTGGTGCCATCCCTGGGCTGTTGGTCCTGGGTTCTACAAGAAAGCAGGCTAAGCAAGCCAGGGGAAGCAAGCCAGTAAGCAGCACTGCTCCATGGCTTCTGCCTCAGCTCCTGCCTCCAGGTTCCTGCCCTGCTTCAGTTCCTGTTCTAACCCTCCAATGATGGGCTATGACCTGGAAGTGTAAGCCAATTAAACCCTTTCCTCCCCAACTTGCTTTTTGATCATGGTATTTCTTCTCAGCAATAGAAACCCCAACTAAGATGCATTGTATCCAAACAACCATCCAACCAAAACAACAGGTACAACCGTGAAGATGCCTGCAGTTTTTGGTGGATTTGTACCCTCCTTAGGGGCTTGGCAGCCTCAGGACCCATGTGGAAGTCATTGTGCTCACCTGTATTCCTTGATTGCACTTGCCTCTCTCCCTGAAGCCCATCTGCCCCAGGGGATGCAAACGGGTGTATCCTGGGGCCTGTGGGTCAGAACTGCTTGTTCAGTGAGCTAGGAACTGGGATGCCACCCTTCCTTGTCACCTCCTTGTCCCTGTGATGGCAGGGAGCTCCCTAGTGGTTTCCTGTGCCTAGGAAATTGCTCCAGAGCACTTTGTGGATGCGTCTCCTAGGACAGACTTTGATTGGCAGTTCTCTATGGTCTGGAGCTGAAGTGTGGAGGGCTGTGTCTGCAAACTTTGAAATAATGAGGACTTGGAAAAGCTGCCTTGTCCCTGTAACCTGGGCAGTCCAGCTCGCTTGGGGCATGTCCTACCAGGTTCTTGAAATGCCACGGAAGCAGATGAACTCATCTTGGCTTCTGGCAATTTTGGGGTCTCCAAACTGAGTCAGTGTATATAATAACTGCGTTTACTTTGGAGCCTGAAGCCTCACCAATTGGGAAATTATTACCAGAAGACTTAGCCAGCTTGGGGTTTCTTCTCAGGTGCCTCCCACGAAGAAAGTTCATCGAGATCGTTAGGAAAACCCCCATCCTACACTGTCGTTTCCTTGCAATATACTATTTTCAGTCATCGTCCCTCCCCCTCCCCATTCTTCGATGTTTTAGCATGTGTTTGGGGCAGAGCAGAGGGTCAGAGCAAGCCATGCAGCGCCTGAAGAGAAACAGGCAATTGTGAATTAGAACGGATATTTGGAGAATGCTGTACACAAGCCCCAGGTGGAGATCATTCAAAATCTTGGCAGAAAAAGCGTGGCTCGAAGGTAGGAGGTAGGTCACTTCTTAATGAGGGGAGGCTGTGTGGGGGTGAGGTATGAACCAAGAAGGGGGTCTGGAAGCCTTCAGAGTTGTTCTGGCTTTTCTTCTGTTGGCTTTGCTGTTTGTCTGGATGGATGAGGAGTGAGGAAGATGTGGACAACACTAACTTGGGGACCAGGTCTTTCTTCTAAGTCTCACGTTCATCCGGCACACTTGGCACCTCCTTAATAGGAGGGAAACAAGCATAGAAGTCATGTCCCTGGTTCTCGTCTTCAGGAAAGGGAGCTTGGACCCTGAAGCCCAGAGAGATTTCCATGCCCTGCCACCTGAAGGCATTGAAAAGGGACAGATTGTTCCTCTGTCTGTTCCTACATCACTGTCTATCCCTCATAAAACAGGCTGTTTTCTGGCACACACCAGCCTCAGGAGATGCAGGCATCAATAGCCCCAGGGACTGGGGCAGTGGGCCAGTAGAGGTATCTCCCTATAGAGAAGTCATGGCAAGGGCCTGATAAACAGGGCTGCAGAGAAAAGTCACCAAAAGAGACAAGGGTCAAGGGTGACCAGTGCTTCTAAGAAGCTGTGTAATTGTTACAGATGATCTTTTCCTCCTTACAGGACAGTGTGGCTGGAAACAGAGGAGATTCTATGAGCAACCATAATGGGTCCCTACAGATGGAGGCGTGAGTGGTCACATCTTGGATTGTAGCACGTGGCTCATTGGTGGGTGAACTGTGTTCTAATATTAATTATGTAATCACGGGTGGAATGTAGGGGAAGCTGTAATCAGACCTCCATGTCACCACGATTGTCACTCTTGAGCGATGAGCGGGACACCTGCCGGGCTCCATGGGAGACAGGGTGGGCTGAAGGTGCTGGGATCCCATGATCCTATAACCTTGGGGGGAGGCGGTGTGAATGCAGAGCCTGTTAATGGACTGGGGGCAGCCCCCACATCAAATGTTGCTGACGGATGATGAATGAGTCAGTTCTCCATCTGTCTCCACGATGCTGCAAAGGGGAAGGGTGGCTTTGAGCAAACAGCATCCATCTTTGACTGCTCGCTCCATCCATGTGAGCAACTCCACTGGAAGAGGCAGAGACAGCAGGCTTTAGGACCATAGAACCCAGCGGGGACAGACTTGAGTAACAGCTGCTGGGACCTGGCATGGTTCTGTGAGAGCACCGTAGTGGCAGGTGCAGGCTCTGCAGAGCTGTTCCTTGGTTGTCTTTCAGGGCAGACTGCAGGCTTCTGGTTTTGACCAATAGCTCTCATTCTTGCCCATCTTCGAGTTCTTTTTTGTTCCTGACTGATCTCAGTCAACCTCAGCAGATGCTTGCCATTGGCTCTCACATTTAGATGTGGAATCTGCAGCAGCATCTTGCTAAGGGGGGGTCCCAACCTTCACTTCTCACTAAGGTCTGATGGTCCTAGGCTAGAGAGGGGTGAAAGGGGGTTCATGGGAAGGCTGTCTTCGGTGGACTTGAGGTGCTTCCTGGGGGTGGTAACCCTGCAAAGGATGAAGTCCGGGGAAAGGTGGTCAGTGAGGGAGACAGGAAGAGGCTAAGGGGACAATGATCAGGTGTGGGTGTGTTTGGCAGAAGAAGTGACTCTGGGGGAAAAGGGAATTCTTCTATGGCTGGTTTTGTAAGCCATGTTAAGTAGTTGCCTTGCATGGAGTGGAACTTGAGTTTTCTGAAAAGCTGTAAAAGGGAGAGATTCCAGAGTAGCCAGATGGTCCAGCTGAGATGGTAAGCAGGGCTGGGTACAGGTAGGGAGGTTTAAGAGCAAAGGGCTTCTGAACCAGGCAGCGGTGTGTGTACAAAGCCAGAGTGAAAATATATTTAGGAAGGAGCCGGGCTACATGGTGTGGACTAAACATGTTGGTGATGCAGGAGAGGCCCAGGGGAGCAGCGTGGGTCGGTAGCAGGTTTCAGCCTCGGCGACTGGAGCATGAGAAGACGGGCTGATTAATTTGATTTGTGGACATGAACTCAATGTACACATTCAGATAGACCTGGCTGATAGACAATGAACTGACCTTCAAGATGACTGGACACTCCAGGGCCCATCTCCAGAGCTGAGCTATCAACCCAGCAGGCACTGCATGTGCTTTCGAGGTTAGAACAGTGGTGTGAGGAATAGTAGGGCTGACAAGGGATGAAGACGAACTTGACGTAGGTTCTCTTTGCAAGGCAGCTGAGTTCAGTCCCGCCACTCCTGCATGCTTCTGTTGCACCGCTCAGGCGATCATCCTGCCCGGACACCTTGGTGTCCAGCAAACTAAGTCCTACTAGAAGTGGAGGTCTGCTAAGCACCTCCCCGCTCCCATACACTCTCTTCCCAAAGTTTCCAGTGTCTGTGTTGCTGAGTTTCATAACCTCTAGTTGCCTTTTCCCCCTAAGCATGATTTGGAGTACAAGTATGTCCAGAAATTCTTTACAACTTTCAGGTAAAGCCTCTGCCTATCATTTGTGAGGCCTTGAGTTCCATCTCCATCACCAGAAAAATTTAAATTTATTATTGTTTTTCTTAAATACATATACACACACAAACCTCACCACAGACTGTGATGCACACCTGGACAGTGTATTAGTCAATGTTCTATAGAGTAACAGAACCCACAGAATCAATATATATTATAAATGGAATAGTCCAATGATGGTCATGTGTATGCTGGAGATATTGAGAGACCCCATCACTCCTCAGTCCCTGAAGCTGGATGCTTTAGTGGTCCCAGTCTAGCATTAGAGGCCCAGAGGGTTCTTGGAGAGCCATGGTCTTCAGTGTGTATTAGTATGTGGAAGAAGCTGGGTTTTGATAGAAATAAAGAAAGGACAGCAGACAAGTAGATGTGCTCATCATCAATTAATGAAGGCATATGAGCAAGCAGCATGACTTTCTCCTCAGACTTCTTTGTATCTGGGTCACTTGTCAGAAGGTTCCACTCTCTCTGGGGCAGTGGTTCTCAATCTCCCTAATGCTGTGACCCTTTACTACAGTTCCTTATGTTGTGGTGACCCCCAACCATAACATTATTTTCATTGCCACTTCATAATTGTAGTTTTGAATCATAATGTAATGTAAATCTGATGTGCAATGTCTTAATTAGGGTTTTTTTTTAATTGCCATGAAGAGATATCATGACCACAGCAACTCTTACAAAGAAAACATTTCATTGAGGTGGTGACTTATAGTTTCAGAGATTCAGTCTATTATCATGATGAGGAGTTTGACAGCATGCAGGCAGATGTGGTGCTGGCTATATCTTGACCAGAAGGCAGCGGGAAGTCAGCTGAGTGTCACACTGAGTAAAGCTTGAGAAAAGAGACCACAAAGCCTGCCCCCACAGTGACACACTTCCTCCACCAAGTCCACACCTCCTAATAGTGTCACTCTCTTTGGGGGCCATTTTCTTTCAAACCACCACATGCAGGATATCTGATGTGTGACCCCTGTAAAAGGGTTGGTTGACATCAAAGGGGTCATGACACACAGGTTCAGAACCACTGCTTTAGGAGAAAGTTTATACCTAACCAGTTACTATTCCTGTCAGTGCTTCACAGGCCTACCCAGACACCAATTTCTTAGTTGATTTTGATCCAATCAAGATTAACCATCACAGGCATATAGGGAGAGACCTACCATGAAAACCCATTGAGCCAGTAAACACTATTGGGAGGGCCAGCAGAGTAATGTGGCTGCACAGAACCCGGTGACTCTGGTTCCTGATGTCACTAGAGTCCAATCAGGCCAGGAAGGGGAGGTCCTGTGTTTCCAGTGTCATCTATTTCGGTGCGGGGGTGGGGTGGGGTGGGGGAGACAGTCCTGTGTCTTAAGTGTTAGCTGTGTTCAGATACAAAGGTGTAAATAAATTGAAGTGTATGGTTTTATAGCTTTCATTCTCAGCAGTATTTTCTGAATGAGGGAGGCAACTCAATTCATACTGTAGCAGCTGACACTTACAGAGCCTTTGAACGCTGAAGTGGACTCTCACTTGGGCTACATCATCCCACTGTGGCCCTATGTGAGTGGTACAGAGGGAGACTGAGGTACAGAGGCTCAGTAGCCCACTCAAGGCTACCTGTAAGCAAATGCCCACCTGAGACTTGAACCCAGCTCTCTGGATTGAATCTGGTGCTTTATCCCACTCGTCAGTTCTTCCTGGATGTTTTGTCTCCCAACCCAAAGCAAAGATAGAGCTAAGATTACCAGAAGCCACATGCACCACATTCTAAATGTCCCCGAGAGTAGCAGTCACAGGCAAATGCCTATTTCCAAGATGTTTTCTTGGGCTTCTCTGTTTATGGGACCTCCTCTGTGATTACCCAGCAGATGGCATTCATGCAAACTCAAATATCACAGCAAACTCCTCCTTCAGATTAATTAGTTTCCATTTATACATCTCACCTCAAAAGCTTTAAAGTTCTTTGATCTTGCAGTTCTGGTCTCCAAAGCCTTCCAATCTCCTGTCTTTCAAGCGCCTTTGTTTTCCTGCGGTGTTTCCTTAGAACAAAACCTGGAGACTCCAGAAGGGGTGTGTCCGCCTGCTGCCAGAAGCTATCTCCCCAAGCCCCCAACCCCCCAAAACCCTATGCCATGTTCTCAGAAAAAAACACTATGAAACAGAGCCATACCCATTCTCCTGGGACATCCTGGGCCCAGATTGCTCTGTGATATCATGTAGGCCTGTTTTATGAAGGATGGAAAGCTTTTGTAGTCTAAGAGAACCATGATTATCAGGGAAAAAGGGAGGATTCTACATAACAAAGCAGCACTAGGCACATTGCCTGGCCCTGTCTCCCAAGCCAAACTGGTAGGTAAATAGTACTTGTCCCATTCTGTGATTATTTTGTCAGATGTATTTGTGCATCTACTCCTTCATGGCAGATGTTAGCATGTATTATTGTCAGATGTTTGAGGTCTATGTCTTGTCTTCAAGGTTTTGGTAGTCTTGTGGGAGACTAGGATGGGGGAAAGGAGTGTTGTTACTTCCAAGCATCATGGCTTTTATGAATCAAGACTTGCACACACCATGACTTCTGCTAACTTCTGTGATTTCCATGTGCTATGACTTCTATGAATCATGACTTCTGTGCATCAGTTAGGATTTCCATGTGCCATGGTCTCTGTGCATCATAGCTTCCTTAAATCATGCACTGTGGCTTCCATGTACAACGACTCTGTGTACTTTCACGTCTATACATCATGGTGTCCCTGTTTCATGAGTTCTGTGTACCATGACTTCATGCTTGCACAAGCACCATAATTTATGCCCATCATGTACACCATGATTTCTGTACATCCCAACTTCCATGCATCACTATGTCCATGAATCATGACTTATGTGTATTAGGATTTCTGTGCATCATAATTTCTATGCCCTATATACTGTGGATTCTATACATGGCTATTTTCATGACTCATGACTTTGGGGCATTGTGGCTTCTGTTCATCGTGACTGATCTTCATGATGAGTTGGGTACATTATGATTTCTGTGCAATGCACCATGACCACAAACACCATGACTTCTGAACGCCACAACTACTGTGCTTCATGACTTGTGAACATCATGACTTGTGAAAATCATGTCTTCCATACATCATTATTTCCATTCATTATGATTCTGTCTGTCACAACTCTGATGCATCATGACAGGCATTCATTTTGACTTCAGTGCACCAAGATTTCTGTGACTCATTTCTGTTGTATCCATTCAACACAATTCCTCTTCAACCAAAGCTGGTGGTCTTGGTTACATATGAAAATAATCTCAGAGAAAGAATATATATATATATTTTAAGGGCAGGTACTCATTCTTTGCCCCATCTTTTTCTCATGTCCACACACACTCTCTCTCTCTCAGTGACAGATGAGAAGGGCTTGCTGACTTAGCTCAGTCGAGAACAACATTTCTTCTCTCCATACAGGCCAAATTTGTCCTGGGGGCCACAGATTTGCCTGTCTGCATCCAAACCCTGTGATCTCTCTCCCTCTTTCCACATGCCATCCAGGGGTCAGCCCCTAAGCAAGATCTCTTCTTCTGCATTCACACAGACTTTGGGGACTGGACCTTCATCTGTCACCACAATAAAGGTACTTGTCAATCTGCCTCAAGTCCCATTTGAGAATATGATAAATGACGTTATTTAAGGAAAATAGCCACCAGAGTGATCTCTCTTCTCAGACATTAGTCCTGATGATGGAGTGCTGATATTGTAACCACTTCAGTGGTACCCAGGGCCAAGGATGAAGGCTTCACTAGTCTCTACCTTCACTCAGCGTTCTGCCCGGGTTCAGACTCTGGCTGCATGGTTTCCTGGCTGTGAGTCCCTTGGTAGTTCCTCTTTCTTGCTCCCTCTTTCCCTCCCTTCTCCCCTCTCTCCCTTTCTCTACCTCATTCTCTCCTTCCTTCCTTCACTCTCTTTATCTTCTTCCTTCTCTCCCTCCCCCTCTCTCCTTCCTTCTCTCTGTCTGTCTCTGTCTCTCACCATTCCCCCATCTCACTCCGTCTCTTTCTCTCCTTCCTTCCTCTCTCGTCTCTCTGACTCCCTCCTTCCCTTCCTCCCTGTCTTTCTCCTCTCCCCTCTTCCCCCCCTTCTCTCCCCCTCTCCCTCTCTCTATCTCTCTCTGCCTCCGATGCTTCATCTATAGAGTGAGGACAGTTTGGTGAGATTTCAGAAAGAATACAAACTAGAAGCTTGGTGGTGGGGCTTAGAGGAGAACTGCTTTGCAGGCATTGTTATCAACATGCACATACGTAGTTTCTGCCCCCAAGAAGCTGCAGTCAGGAGGGAAAACCTGAGGCTCAATTGTGATAAATGCCGTTTCTTATCCCACCAGGAAAAGCATGGGTGCAGAGAGCTGGGTGAGTTTTGCCTGGATGGGCAGGAAAGTCATCCAGTGTGACTCCTTAACCAGGCTCAACAATGGAGTTGTTGGAGGGGCAGGACCTAGTGTGAGGAATATTGGGTAGCCTGGTGGTTCATCTTGCCAATTTGACTGTGTTTAGAATCACCATGGAAACGCATCCCCAGGAATGACTGAGGGGGTTCTAGACTGTGTTAACTGAGGTGGGAATAACTACTTTAAATGTGACTCAGATCCCATGGTCAGGGTCCCAGAATGAATAAAAAAGAGAAAACAAGTGAAGCACAAGTCAACCCACCCCACCCTCTTCCATTTCCTGGTTGTAGACATGGCTGTTTCCACTGCCCTGCACTAAGCCTTCCTCACATGATGGGCTAGACCCTTAAACCTTCTCTCCTTAAGTTGCTTTTGTTCCATATTTTGTTATAGCAACAAGAAAAGAACTAATATAGGCAAAATTAGCTGCCAACATCTACCTTTTCCATTCCTTCCACTTTCCCTATCCTGTCTCCCTCCACTTCCCCCCCACTCATCCAGAGGAGAGTGCCCAGGGAAGTCCTGGAATAATAAGAGACTTTCCTTATAGATCACGGTGTCCCCAGAACGTGATGTGCCAACCTATCCCAAGGTCATAATAGGATGGGAGGCGAGTCTGTTATTTTAAGTCCAGATGGGAACTGTATGGGGAGATGCCTCTTTATTTGAGAAGTCTGTTTTGCTACAAGGACACTGGAGAACAGAAATCCAGCAAGCTTTGAGAAGAATGAGCCACAGTCCTTTATTCTCCAGATGCATTCCCAGGGTTCACTAAGCCAAATCACTAGGTGAAAGGCACATGCTATAGTCCTTTCCATCCACCTCCCCGAGCACACAAATGCTATTTATGTGGTTTGAGCTTCATCATGGGAAATCACTTTGCATGTGGCAACTTACGCTTTGGGGAAAGATTTTGCATGGTGTGGCCATGTGTCTGGGAATGGAAGAGGTTTCTTATTGCCTGGGTACCATGTAGCCATCTGGACCCACTCAGCATGGCTAATGAAGGGCTCAGCTCATGACCTGCTGGCAGGAGAGCTCTGCGACACACCTTGTGACCAAAGACAAGGAATCCCCCGCGTGGGTTGAGGTCTATTATTAATCTTAGGGTTGTGAGGCTGACACTGAACTGCTGTGAGTTGAGGAAGGTGGGCTGAGTCCAACAGGATTGTACGTGTTATGAGACTCTCTTGACAGACTGCTGCAGATAACAGATAAAGGCCTGCTATGGACAAGGCAGGGAATCTGAGCTACTTGAAGCTGGATGGGTAGGGCTTGGATCTGAGCCACACACTCATGGAAGCACAGTTGTCAGCAGTCATTACTGGATACTAGCTGAATGTTCAGGGATTTAGCCAGCACTGGGATGAGCTACTTGAAGTTAGTATGATTCATAAAAATCAAGACCCAGACTCACAAGACCCAAACTGCCCTTGTTTCAGATATCTGCTGCAAAGCCAACTGGCTCTACATTTGGGGCTTCCCACAAATGCCTTTGGGTCTGAAGATTTGCTAGAACAAGTCAAAAAAGTATTTTAAAAATGTGTGCTTCTGATTCTCCTTTATCATGAAGGATATAAATAAATAGTCACATAAAGAGACATACCAGGCAAGGTCTAGGAAGTAGACAGAGCTTCCCACTGTTTCTGGTCACAGTTCCCTCCAAATCCTTGAATGCATTCTCCACCTAAAGCTCCCCAGATGTCACTGCTCAGGCCTCAGACTGCATTGTTCAGGTGTGACCGGTCAATCATGAGCTTTGCATTTTGGAGAAGGCACAGAAACTATCATTGGCCATTGCCAGTGGGTTCTAGTCTCCTCTCCTCCAAGAAGGGTGGAGGAGCATGCCTGAAGTTCTAAGCCTCTGATCACACACCAGCCTCTCCCATCTGCAGGTCGCCTACCTGAAGCCCCTCCTTTTTTTTCCACTCTGTCATCTCATTAGCATAAATAGAAGGGCTCACAATGCATAATGAAGGTTACTCCCATTACCCTAACATTCCAAGAACGTAGGAGCTGTGTTGTGGGGTGTGTGTGTGTGTGTGTGTGTGTGTGTGTGTGTGTGTGTGTGTGTATGTATGTATGTATGTATCTGCTTTTTCTATACCATGGCATGGCAAGGTTAAAGGAGACAGAGACTACTGACCCAATTTCTGACACAGAACCTTGGCCAAATTATGTGTTTGGCCAGAGGCAGCAAATAAAGTTCAGAAAATACCTGAGCCAACTGATGGGGGATTAAAACCACCATTGAGGATAAAAAAGCTCAATGTCTATTTTGCACAATCAAGAAATGGTCATCTCAAAGCTTAGCCCTCACTGCAGGAGGATCAACGGCTTATGATTCTTTCTCATTTTGATGTGAGGATAGCCATGAGCCAATTTTCCTAGATTAGAATGAAGATGGGCATCAAGGAGAGGCCGCTCAAACACCTCCCGGGAGGCTGGAGGAGGATGGCAAGTACATGCCCAGGCAGGTGCAATGCACCACTGCAGCAGGCAATGCACCACTGCAACAGGCTTTCTCAGAACACTTGAGCAACAGAGTATGAGAATGCAGTGTGGCCGGGCTCCAGTGTTCAGAAGTGTCTGCCTGGTCTCACCAGGCCTGTATTTCTCTGGTTCTTAGCTGATCTTTGTGCCCAAAGATGTTTCTGAGGCTCAGCAGGAAGCTTCCTAGCTATGAGTGAAGTGTTTACCCTGAAGCAAGGCACAAGGACCCCTTAATTTCTAGAGTCATCTTAAAAACAACAACAACAACAAACAAACAGATGTAGTTGACTTCTGACCCCTACATCTCAGGCAAGTGTGTGTATATGTATGTCCTCATGCATGTACACTGGCACACACACAAACATGTACACACAGGTAAGTACTTCTCTCAAGAATGGTTGTCCTCCAAGTACTCCCAGGTTCCATTTTTCCTGGGACCTGCTTGACTTGAAGATTTCAGATTATACCTTCCTACCTGCAGCTGGTTCGGGAGGTTCCTACAGGAAAGGAATGGAAGAGAAGAGGTCCAGTATGTGTTGGGTGGCATATGTGAGAGTTGCCTTGTTGATTGCAGAGAGAACCTTGGTGTCTCTCTTACGCTGTCCTGAGATTCATAGTGGGTTTGTGGAATGAGATGGCTATTTCTAAACAGTTTTCAGATAGGGAAGGTGATTCATAGACCCTCTGCCAACTCCAAAATCTAGTGAATGAAGTGTCGTGATCCTGACTAGACAAGGAGTTATAGATGAGGAAGCTGAGGAACACTGTATCTGCATCTTGGTAACTGTGTCTCCTGATGGTCAGCCTCTTCGTGGTTAAGTACTCTTGAGGTTGCTGCTAGACGGTTCTCACTTTATCAGAAACCAAGGTACCAGGGTGTTTTCCCACATGTGTATTCACAAAGGATCTGCATCCTTGAAGGTCTGATGTCATTATGATACCTCATGCTTTGTGATTTTTGACATCCTTTCTTTTGTGGGAATCAATGAAAAGAAATATCTTAAAAAGGAGATCTGGTCTACCATGATTTGGGAGCAGAAAAATGGTTGCTTATAACATGAACATACTGCCCACCTCAGAAATATTTGTAACAACTTTAAAATCCACAATCTAGAACCCACCTCACTGCCCCCTGCTTTGGGGAAACCCACCTAATCTCTCTTTGGAGTGTTTTCTTTACTAAATAGACTTCTATTTGAACTGTACAAGTTGCTTCACTAAATATTTTCTTTCAAGAAGACAAGGATTGAGAGATCCTGATAACAGTAAAGCTATGTCTCCAGCTGAGGATTGGAATCACAGGGTGCTCCTGCATGGCTCCCACAGTTAATGCAATTCTCTGAAGAGCCATATGACTTGGTGTTTCCTAGGACTCCATCAAATCCAGCTCATCTGGAAGCATAAACACACAGCAGGAGAGGGAGATGGGGAGCTCCCGTTGCCCAGAAGCAAGGAGATATTTCTGCTTCCCTGTACTTTAGGCTGCTTTCCACTTGTAGAAGATGGAGACACACTATGTGTGCATGAAGTTATACTGAATCCTGAATAACTTTCTAGTGTTAGATTAAACCCCACTGTGCATGTTACAGGAAACAGCTACTGGAGCACAAGTAGGGGGTCCAAATCCACTTTGGTCAAGCTGCTAACAGAGACACAGCTGCACCAGCTCAGAACAATTATAGCCTTTTCTAAGACAG